CTAGCAGCATCCATGCCCACACCATGTTGACGTCCACCGCGCAGCAGCATCCATTCCCAAACCATGTCAATGTGCTGACGTCCAGTCTGCGCCTATCCGTCATCCTAGCAGCATCAATGCCCAAACCATGATGACGTCCACCGCGCGCGTGTCCGTCATTTTAGCCAAACCATGTGATGACCTCCCATCCGTGATGACGTCCTGTCCGCTTGCGTCCGTTATCTTGGCAAAGCATGTGATGACGTCCAGTCCGTGCGTGTCCATCATCCTAGCAGCATCCATTCCCAAAAAGTGTGATGACGTCCAATCCGCATGCACCCCTTGTCCTAGCAGCATCAATGCCCACACCATGATGACGTCCAGTCCGTGTGTATCCGTTATCGGATATCCTAGCGGCATCCATGCAAATGTTATTTGCGTGGTTGTCCCTGCTCACAGTGATGCCGTATGATGCCGTGTAAACGGCCGCGTCAGGTTTGTTTCAGCCGCAGAACGAAGTTAAGAGTGTTGACCTGGTGGATGCAAAACAGAGCATTTCATGCGTTTTGCTGTGGTAATTGCCCGGAATTGCGAAACGTGGTCACTACTTTGTAGGTGTTTGACGAGTGACAGCCACAAACATCGTGGCCGTCGCATCTCAAGCTTTTTATGTTGTCAGAGATTGCCATGGATGCGGGACATGTCATTGCTGGGTTGATCGGATTGATCTTGGGAGGAACCGCCCGGGAGCTCTTCAAAGCCTCGACCGTGCCTGTCATTGCTCCTGTCAGGGACTTATATCCGAGCAAAGCAGCAGCTGGGGAAACTTTGGTGTGACGGCTGCGGCTTTCAAGGCTACTTTTGAAGAGTCCTGAGGGAGAGCAAGAAGTGGCGGCAGTGCAAGGGGAAGAAGGGTGTGTGCGGATCGAAGGCTTTCAGCTAATTTGCTGAAATGGTCTTCCAGCCTGGGGATGTGGTGTTCCTTGACTATGGAGAGAGACCGATAACCACGCACACCCCTGTCGTGCTAGCCAGCGTCAGTCCTGAGAGTTATGAGTATGTCATCTTGACTCCTGATCACGATATCTATTGCGAAATTCTTCACGAATCCAATCCGGATATCACTCGCTTCTTTACAGCTAGTGCTCGAGGGGGGATTCCGCGTGAAGTGTCTGCCAGGAATGTCTACAGGTTCCAGGCAATGAACGCCGGCGAGCTCAGCGAGTTCATGAGGATGGGACGTGAAGAGGCAGAACGCATCATCTTTCAAAGCGGTGCTGCAGGAGCTGGGGTGGCTGCTGCAGTCGTACCGGATCTAGAAGACGTCGTGAATTCAGGGCGATAGGTTATGGCAGAGTGCGTTCCAGGATTCAAGATAGGAGATGAGGTGATCATGAGTTCTGGTGCCAAAGTGGATGGAGATTGGGGCTTGCACAAGTTGACCGATTCGAATGGAGCATCGAGGATGGTGCTCGTCTCAAGGGTGTCGGATGCCGAGTTGGGAGAGTTCTGCGAAAGCCGTATCCAGTTATGCCGTGAATCGGAGGCCAGTTATGGAGAAGATCGGATTGCTGGGGATGATGCACGAACTCTCTCTGTGAAGTTCGGCGTTAACGGAGAGAGGAGCAGATCATTCCAAGAATCAGTGCAAAAGATGGCCGTGGAGCTGACAGACTTTTGTTTCCGTTTACACCTAAGACATGCGGCGATTACCTCAAGCGGTGAGTCACGTTGCTGAGCGCTGTTTATCGCAGCACCACATGTGGATCAGTCAGAGCGGAGTACCAAGCGGAGATAGAGAAACATACGAGGACGATTGTCTGAGTCGAATGATCGACTTGGCCGTCAAATGTAGCGGACTAAACGTCGTGAATTTGGCATCGTTCGAGTTGGCTGTCAGACGGAAACAACTGATAGCTGAAGCTCACTCGTATTCTCCGGGGGCTCCGTCGTATGAGGCTGCAGACCACTTCCTGCAAACAGGGTACAGACCCCCGGAGGGGCAAGAGTTGTCCCTTCGTTAAGAAGGCTGTGGTTGACAAGCTTCATCAGGAAGGGCAGATTCTGAAGGAGAGGAGGAAGCTGCGAGACGAGAAGGGCAACAAGGGCAGAGGATGTGGTAACCCGGGCGGGAAAGATGCGCCCGGGGGGCCGCAAAAGTGATCACCGCTGGAGTGGTGCTTTGGGTGGGAGCGCCGCGCAACTTTTACTGCCTGCAATGAGGCGAAGTCCGATCGCCAGCGAGACCTGTTTCCACTTCCTCAGTTGCAGAGAGAGGGGGAGATTGCCAAGAAAGGGCTTAGCCGAAGTGTGAAGCAGCGCATTTTCAGACGAGATCATGTGCAGAGGCCGGTCAATGTGGCCGTTGCCGCCGTGAATTCATTGTATTTTGGGAGTCGGGGTTGTCATATGTCATGTTGTGATATCTCTGCTCTGCCACTTCTACAAGCGGACGCCTTAAAGAATGTCATCCGGAGAAGGCCGGAGAAGATGCCGCAGCCGGCTCAATTAGACCGCTTGTCTGCCTCTTCTGTTAGCTTTTCGCACCTGTCGCTCAGGTCGCCGTTCATCTTCTGTACCTCCCAGCGCAGCCGGCTCAACATGACCGCTGCCAGTGGTGGTTAAGCTGTGCACTGCTTTGTCAGGTCACCGGCTTTGTTCGCCTTCACTTAAATTGCTGGCTGACAACGGGCCACAGGACAGCCTTGCTCTCCTTGCCGTCGCTGATGCTTGTTGAGCTTGCTGTTTAAGCCGCTTGTTGTCCTCTGCAGCCTATTGCCGTGGTCACCTCCCTAGACTCGGCTCAGGTCTACGATTGCGTGTTGGCCTCGGCCACGTGCGACTTTTTCAACAAGTCGGTTGGCTTGCCCTGAGTAAGATGTCAAGCAAGAACGGACTCATGATAGAGGGGTATGCTTCGAGGGGCATATGGCCCCTCTCTTCTCAGGGCTGAAGTCGTCCCTCAGGGATGCCCCTGGCTCCTATCAGCAGCTTTGTGGCTACAGGATCTACATGGACGGCAGATTTTCTTTGGTGCACCAACTTCCGTGAGGCGGAAGGGTTCAGATCAGGGCGGCATGGAGTCGTCGTGTAAGATGTCGCTTGTGGCCGCGAGCGCTGCAACCCTTCGTGGGCGAAAAGCGAGTCCTCAGTCCGCAGGCCCGACACCTTGCAAGAGTGCGCTCGTATCGACAAAGCTCTCGCTAGGGCTGTTATGCTGAAGTGCACACATCGGGTGGAGAGTTCTCTGCCGCGCCGCTATAGTTAACAGTGCGTGCCAGTACCGAAAGACCCTGAAACCCGTGCCAGTGGCAACCTTTCAAAGACGAGGCTCTTGCTCTTGTCTTCAGATCGTTGTCAAGCACCACCCGACAAATCATTCAGCATTGCCGGACATCGGTGTGCTGAGCAGAATCATTGTCGAGACGCTGATCGGGTCCTTCCTGCTGACCCCGGCGCTGTTGTTGACACCTGCGGCTGGGTCACCAAGGGATCAGATGAGCTTAGTTCGTGTCACTCGAGAGTGTGCCGCAGCTTTGCTGGCGGCGAGTGGTGCTGCTCATGAGATTGCAGGCTTCCTCTGCCCGGTCAATTGGGCTGACTTCGGCATTTCTGCGCCTTCGCTGTTGCCCCCAACATTCCTGCTTGCCTGTTGCTGAGGTGCATAAGCCAGCGTGGTGTTGAAGTTCAGCAGGCCTTGCCTTCCTCTCAAGTCTTTTAAAAGGGATCTCTTTAGGCGAGGCCATGGCAGTGCTGAGCGACTTGTGTTATTGTCGGGTGATTGGAGAGGGCGCCGTAGTCCCAGTGATCGGGTGGGTGGTGGAAGCCGCCGACGACGAACTGGTGCTGGCATCGACTTCGGACTTGACATCCTTAGAGCACACCTCGCAGGTAAAGGTTGGCGAAAAGGTCATCTTCTTTGTGAGGGTTTCTCGTGACACTGCTAGCTTGGACCAGCCGGCTGGTTGGAAGGGGGACAAGCCGAAGGATTTGGCCCCTTTGGATACCTGCCGCACAGCATGGACCAAGGCAAAGGACAGCGAGCTTCTCAGCAGCGAGGCCGAGGCCACCAAGGTTCGCAAGCCGAAGGCGCAGAAGGGCAAGGGATCTTTAGCTGCCGATTTGAGTCAACTAGGGGGTCTTTTTGCCAACGGGGATTCGGAAGAGGAAGAGGAGAGCGACAGCGAGGGCGAGTCAGCTTTCCCCCCCAAAAAGGGGCGAAGCAAGTATCTGCCTCCCGGGGGCTCCGGGGGTTCAGTCATCGACAAGAAGAAGAAGCCCAAAGGGGAGAAGGATGTCATCAAGCAGATGCTTGCGAAGGGCCTTGCGGAGGGGAAGGATGCCAACGACTTGCTGCCGACGGTCCTCATGGCAATGCTCCTGGACAAGAACAAGGAGACCCGACGGGGCCGCGCCGCTTCCTCCGGAGATTACCTCGATCTCCATGGTGGCTCCGACTCAGACGACAGCGAGGCCGACGAGGACAAGGCCAAAGGAATGAAAGCGGTAGAGCTACTCCACAAGCTTCACCGCAGCATCAGGCGCCATCCCAAAAGGGTTTGCGAGCAGTTCGAGAAGGAGGTGATCGAGGACCTTGGGGTTGTGAAGGGCCAGGCTTGGACATTGAAGGATTATGTGAAGAAGCAGCAGTGGGGCAAATTCAAGGGGCTCTACAGAACAGCCATAATGGACGTGGAGGTCTACGAACTCCTCAGAAGCAATCAAGCAGATGTGGCCGCAGCTCAGGTGATCCAGAACTTAAAATCCAAACTGCAAGCGGTGATGCAAGGGGGCGACTGGGGCTCGGCATGGCTCCTCACGGGGTTGCCCGACCCTCTGACGAAGAGGGACTTTGCAGGCACTCGGCAGGAGATGTCAGTGATCTCGGGTTATCTGGATGCGGTGCATCGTCTTCAGAAGCGGGTTCGGGAAAGCAAGGGCCACGGGAATCACCACGCAGAGGAGGACGAGGAAAGCGGGGCCGCGGGGGCGGCCACCAAGAAGTGAATCCCTTCGTGTGCATGCAGTTGTCTTCGGCCGGGGCTACGGTGGTTCACCCGGTGTTGGCTGGAGCTAATTCAGATAGTTCTTTTATTCAGTATTTCGCCTGGTTTCAAGGTGTCCAAGGTTATCTGCTGGAGCGGTCCAGCGACGGCCCATTATTTCCATGCGCGTTGCCCTACCCGGAGGCTATCCTGACTGAGGAGGTGCGGGGTGTGGCAGCTGAGGTGACGATGTGGTGGTCAAAGGCCTTCCTTAACACATTTGTGGGTTGGGGAAACTTCGTTACTCTCGGGTGCCCGGCACCCAAGGGCAGTGGGCGTGAGCCGCGGGTGAGCTATCGTGCCTGTAGGGACATTAGGGCCTTCTGCGATAAGCTCCTCGGCGAGATGGGCGAATTCGTTTCTCTTGAACTTGTGGCTGGCCGTTTGGCGTGTGATGGCAAGCGGTCCGTTGTAGAGTCCTTGTTGGCCCAGGTTCAATGTACAGTCGGTGCAAGTTATTTTCATGATGGAGCAGCCGCCGGGGAGGCCAGTACGGTCGCCTTGCCGGTGGAGGCGAGCCGGGTTGCCATTCCCAGCCAGGCTGGACTGGTGGATCCGTGCCGGTGGCTCGAGGGCGAGAGGAGGGAGACGGTCCAGAACTTGGCTTCCCTTCGCAAGCCGGAGTACCTTTGGGATGAGATTCCGGTTGCATGTCATAGAGTTCCTGTTGAGGAGGAGCCGGCGTTGGCCGACAAACTGTTGGCTACAAGGATGGCCGTGCTAGTGCCTGAGAGCGACTTGCCTCGAGATAGTCGGGGCGAACTGCTCCTGGGAGGCCTCTTCTGTGTGGCCAAAAACTCGACCGAGGACCGGCTGATCTTTGATCGGCGTCCGGAGAACGCCACCATGCATAGATTGTCCTGGGCACGTTTGCCGGCAGGCGCATGCTTCGCGCGGCTACTTCTCGGCCCTCGTGAATACCTGCGAGGTTCAGGTCATGATCTCAGGAACTACTATTACACGCTTAGGCTACCTGAAGGTTGGGTTCGTTACAATGGTTTTGGTCGGCGGGTTTGTCCACAGGTGGTGGCCAAGCACAACGGCGACCCGAAGATCGCGTACAGGCTTGCCTTTCGGGTTTTGGGGATGGGGGACAAGAACGGGTGTGATATCGCTCAGGCTGTTCACGAGAGTCTTCTACGCAGGCACGGAGTCCTAGATCCGCGCTACACCTTAGTGTACGGGGACCACATCCCGCAGGAGAGCCTCCTGGAGGGAGTCTACTTGGACGACTTGCTGATAGCTAAGAAGTGCGAACTTCCTGATGTGATCCCCCTTGACGGCTCCTTCGTTCCTCCGCCCGCCCAGGTCAACGATTCTGACGTGCTCGAGCTGAAGGCTGCAGAGAATGCCTACGAAGAGGCTGGTCTCGAACGGGCTGAACATAAGGCTTTTCGGCAACTTGTGCATTTCAAGGCCTGGGGTGCAGAAGTGGACGGTGTACAAGGGAGAGCCGGGGCCCCGCTGGATGCTAGACGGCAAGTTTGGGGTCTCATCGCAAAGTTGGTCACAGGTGGCTTTGCAAGCCGTGTGGTGTTGCAACGGGTCGTCGGGTACTTAGCCTTCATCTTCCAGTTTCGGCGAGAGCTCTATGGCTTGTTGCATCACATGTACAAGTACCTGGCGAAGATGCCTGAGGGTCGCTGGGTCCCGCTCCCGGGGCACATCTTGGACGAGCTCCGGAGCTGTGCGCTGCATTTGCCGTTCGCGACTTGGAACATGCGCAAACACCTCAGCTCAACGGTCATTGCCACGGACGCCACGCCCACGGCAGGTGGGGCGGTGACCGCTCGCGTGCCGAAGGCCGTGGCCCAAGCCCTTTGGCGCCACACTGAAGTGAAGGGGGAGGCGGTGCGGCTTGATAGGGATCTCGACTTTGAGGCCGATGCCGATCGGCCTCGAGAGGCCTCTCGCTTCGCCAGCATGGTGTCAGAGTGCCTGTGTTGGAAGGTCGAGAGCGGGTACACTTTCAGACAGACTTCGCATATAAATTTGCAGGAGATGCGTGCTCTGAAGAAGGAGTTGGTGAAGCTTGCCGGGGACTCAACGAATGCGCAGTGCATCTTTCTCTTCTTCAATGACTCGCGGGTCGTGTGTGGTGCTCTCGGGAAAGGGAGGTCATCAAGCTTTAAGTTGAACGGGATCATCCGAACGATCATTCCCCACCTCATGCTCTCGGGGATCACTTTGGGGCTTCTTTGGGTGGAGACCGCTTCGAACTTAGCCGATCACCCGTCTCGCTTCCGTTCCCTTCCTCCTCCTTGCTCAGCTCCTCTTTGGCTTCGGCAACTGGGGGTGCAGAACATCATGGACTGGGTTGGCATTGAGGTTTTCTCTGAGAAGGCGGTGATTACGGAGGTGCACCGGAAGGCTGGAGTGACCATGCTTGAGCCGTGGTTCGCCGATGACGTGTCGGCTGACTGCGAGGGCTACTTGGAGGATCTTCTGCGTGGTGGGCAGGTCCGATGGGCCTGGTTCGCCCCGCCCTGTGAAAGCTTCAGCCCTCTCCGCAACCTTGATCCGGGAGGTCCGCTTCGCCGCCGAGGGGAACCGGAGGGTGACTCGTGGAACATCGAGGTCAGGCAGGGGAACATGCAGTGGAGGCGGAGTTTGTGGTTGATGAGGGCTCTTCTTGAGGCCGGGGGTGTTGTCTTTTTGGTGCACCCGAAGAACAGTGCGGCCTGGCGCTTAGAAGAGACGAATCGCTTCATTCAGCAGCATTCGCTACGTCGGGTGCATGTCGACTCTTGTGCATATGTGGCCCGGGGTACTTCTCCACAAATTCACCCAAACCGGAAGTCGCTGACCATTGTAACCAACTCCCCCTGGATTGACGAAGCGGTGCTCACGTGCCCGGGAACTCATGTGCATGGTGATCCTTCACGGGGCCGATATGCTCGAGAGGCCGGGGTTTGTCCGCGCGGGTTTGGTGAAAAGCTCGCTGATGCCCTCTTACAGTGGACGAAAGCCAGTGCCCCTTTACCGGGCGGCACTGAGTGCTGAATATCGGCGTGGCCTGCGGGCTGCGGCGGTCTGGCTTTTGAGCTTGGCCAGCGCCCTAGGCGCAAAATTGTCAGTCAGAACCTCATCTCGGGTGGTGGATGCCTGGTTGGAGAAGGTGGTGAATGTGTGCTATGAGCGTGGAGAGCGATTCTATCGAGTACGATTGGGTGTGCTGGGTGTTCAACGGGCTTTGCGTCTTTCGGGGCCGCTGCTGCGGGGTACCTGGGCTGCGCTGCGCGGATGGCGCACCCTTCTGCCGGTGAACCCGCGCATCCCGATGTCGAAGTACATTATGCAAGCCGTGTTGGTGACTTTTTTAGCGACAGGGTTTCGGGAGGAGGGTCGGGCTCGAGAACAGTGGTGGAGTGCCTTCATCGGCACGTGGCTCTCTTTTGAAGGGTTGCTCAGGCCTGGCGAGATGGACAAACTTTTCGTTGGTGATATTACTTTTCCCGAAGGTGACTGGCCTGCTTCCGAGCAAGTAGGGATGGTGCTGTGCCTACGGACCCCCAAGACCAAACGAGTTTGGCGTACACAATTCGTGCTGCTGAAGGATGAGCAGCTGATCGCCTGGATGCGTTGGTGGTGCTCAGGTCGGCCAGCGCATCGCCGCGTGCTCCGTACAGGGCGTCGCGACTGGGCCAAACGGCTGAGTTTGGCGCTCAGCCGGCTTGACCTCGCCGACCGAGGCTTTACGCTGGGGTCACTGCGAGGTGGAGGTGCGACACACCTGTTTCGTGTAACGGAGAACATAGCTCGGGTCCAGTACCATGGGCGGTGGAGCCGGCAAGAGACGGTCAAGGCCTACTTGCAGGAGGGACTCTCTACTCAAACTTTGACTACGGCCTCAGCCTTAGCTCGGCAGCGTCTCCAGCTCGCTCATCAGTCTTGGGAGCTTCTTCGTGCGCCGCCGCCTCGGAGCCTCAAGGAGCTTTTGAGGCGTCCGGAGGATGCCTAGTCGCCTAGCGAGTGCGCTCAGGGAGCTTGCCGCGGCTTTGGAAGAAGAGGACTGGGAACTCGTGGACTCTTCCCCCGGAGGTGCTACCGTCGCCCCGGCGGCCAAGACCGGGCCAAAGGCACGTGCCGCTGCCACGCGGCGCGTCTCGGAAACTTTGCCGTCTACCTCGTTGGCCAGCTCTTCTACTTCTGCGGTGCCTTCAAAGGGAACAGGAAAAGGGGTCGGCGAACCGGTGGACACTACGGCCTCTTCCAACGTGTACCATCGGGACGTTCGCACCTATCTGATCTTATCGAATCCGCGTGAGCCTTCTTTCGTGGGGGTGATCCAAGGTCGTGCTTCTGAAGTATGGCCGAAGCTAGAGGCCCGTCTTCCGGGCGGGCAACTTTTCGGCTCAGCCGTTCGCCTACGGAAGGTCGCGGACGAGGTCGAGGCTCAGACCCTTTGGAACCAGCACCGCCCCGGAGTGCCGCTACCAAAGTTGCAGCTGTGAAAGGGGGCGCGGAAGTGCCCTCCCCGGACGCCGAAGCTGCTGCCAGCACTCTTCTCCAGGCGGTGCAGACTGCGGCCCACCAGTTAGGCGACGTGGAGGTTTCTGAAGGTCAAACGGCCCAAGCAGTTTTGGCTCGCTTGACGACCTCTTTACTAAATTATGAGGCTGAATTCTATCTAAGCCTGGATTGTGGTATAGCACCCAAAAATGGGAATCCAAAATAGAATTAAAATAGGAAAAAAATGGAATTAAAATACCTGCCGATGTGACCGTTCAGAATAGGAATTTAATGGCAAAAAAATAGGAATAAAATAGCGAAAAAATGACAAAAAAATGGAGAAAAAATGTAAAAAAAATAAACAAAAACTAATACATTCACACATGTAATGTCTTTCTTTCAAGATGGTTTAAAACTGGGTTGTGTTTTGATCAAGAGCTAATCATTACAACAAACAAAGAAAGCATATAGGGAACATAGCAACAACATAGTGAATGAGGAAGCAAAAAGTGAAGAACCTCACACATACGTTGGCGTTCCAAATCGATTGAAAACATACAAACATTCAGTGTTCATACTTTATATTTTAATTTTGCCTAGGACCGAAATAAAACGAAATTAGCAACGGACACCATGGCTTTCCACAAGGAAAGGAAATGTATAGGTTTGCCATAGCCATTTTCCAGAACAGCTAACTGTATTGTATTGTATTATAGATTATAGTAACATTGTCCCACTCACCATTTATCATCATTCAGTTTGAGGTACTTCACTTATTCTTTCGATTCTACTCTTCGTCTACTCAGTCTGCTCTACTTTACTGACTCTACTCGTCACTCGTCTACTTACTCCACTCCGACGCAGCGTGCAAACACGGCATGCACATGCAGCACGCATTGCGCCTGCGCACACACGGGGTCACATGTCGCATGTGCATGAATCATGAGCAGTGCCTGCTGTGAGCTTGTGTGAGCGAAGGGGATCATCCGATAATGTTGGCACGATACAGCGAAGATTAGCATGGCCCCTGCACAAGGCCGCAAGGATGACACGCAGAAATCGAGAAGTGTACCAGGTTTCAAAACTCCTTAGCCGCTTTAACCCGTAGCCGTAGCGAAGATTAGCATGGCCCCTGCACAAGGCCGCAAGGATGACACGCAGAAATCGAGAAGTGTACCAAGTTTCAAAACTCCTTAGCCGCTTTAACCCGTAGCCGTAGAATTTCCGCTGCCTAACAGTCTGAGTCTAGCACTTGTCAGAACCCCCTCCCCTACCCGCTTCTTTCGTGATGTGTGTGTGTGTGTGTGGCCCGCTGCCGGGCGACTGTGGCGGTGTGACCGCTGGCCGATGAGCTGTGGCTGGGGGAGTCCGGGCCCCTGACTGCAGTGCGGCCTGTCATTGTGGATTGTAGGTAGGTCCAGGTAGGTAGGTCCGTGCGCGCAGGAGAGCTTTCAACCTTGACCCCCAGCACCCCCTAGGCCCCAGCACACTGTGTTTCCCGGTGCTCGCCCCCTCGCCCAGGTCCGTGGTCGTCTTCGCTGGCTTCGCCTTGCCGTGGCATCCTCGTGGGTTCTGTCAGGGCCTCAATACTTCTGCGAGATGCGACCTTGCCTTCTGGTTGGCTGCCGTCGTTGATGCTGTCACTGTCTAGACTCTAGACTTAAGCCTTAAGCCGCATGCCACATTCCACGTGCCTCCTGGTGCTGGTGCTGAGGTGGGGCGCGACTTGGCCACTCCGTGGTCTGTGGCGGCCTGCTCCTGAGAGTGTGCAGTGCACGCAGGTTTTAGGGTCGTTAAGGTTTAGGGCTTATATAGGGTTTGGTTTCGATTTTAATTGGAAACTGGGCTTGGGGTTTCAAGTCAAGTCGTGAGTAACAGTAACAAGCATCGTCACTGCAGTCGGTCTGGGGTCTAGGGTTTAGGCCTTAGGCTTAAGCCCGAATTCCGGTTCCCCAGGGTCCCCACCAACATCCCTTTCGACGAGGTCCTCTGCTTCCTGGTCCTGGCGCTGCGCTGCTTCATCTTTACGGAGGAGGTGCTGCATCCCGTAAGTTGTGGGGTCAATTTAGTACTTAGTTAACTCACATGCAGTGATGAGATTCGACAGTGTTTGCCGAGATCAGTTTCGAGCTTGAGGTGTGCAGCTGATTCTAGGATTCCAGGGTTGACCCCAAAACCCCCGCCGACAGGCTGCTGCTTGGTGCGGCTACGGCGGCTACGGCTACGCGGAGGGCCGAGGAGGTGCCCCTTCTTACGTGCTTGGTCTTGGTTTCGGGCTTAGGCCTTAGGCTTAGGCTTAGGTCTTAGGTCAGGTCGGTTCTCGGGTTCTTGACTTTTGCTTCTTTCAGAATTTCAGATTATGTTGTATGCCGTGTTGTTCTGATAAACTAACTGCGCTAGGCCCTGGCCCTAACCGCCCTAACCGCCCTAGCCGGCCCGAGCCCTAGCCCTAGCCGACCCCTCCCTTTTTTGAACCGCTTAGGAATTTTTGGGCTTGGGATTTGGGACTTTAGCTCCTGAGGTGCCGACGTCGTGGGGGTGGGGTTTTTGTGGGTCGTTGTGGGTCTGGGGCTCTGGGTGAGGTGTTGGTTGTCTGTTTGGGGTTGCACCGTTGGTCTTGACTTTGGAATTTCAGAGCCTGGGGCCTAGGCCTGGGCCTAGACTAGCATCGTGTGTGCGCCGATTCATTGCGGGCGGCTTGTGGCTTGCAGTCTCAGGGCCACAGACATGTCATGTGCCATGTGCGAATCTCTCGAACATGCTAGGACACTAGGGCCCTGCGACCTTTCGACTGTCATTGGAACATAGGTTCGACAGTCCCGCTGCAGGGACACTGTAAAGCCTTGTAGGGCTATTGTAGGGCACATTGTGGGGCCTTGTAGGGTCGGTAGGAAGGATGATCGATGGAGCCCGCGAGCCGTTCTACCAACTTTCGACGATAACGGTCGAAGCTGCGGAGATTACGATCAAGGAGCTGCCGATCCATGCTACAAGCACAACTTCTGCAATCACTGTTGCGTCGATGAGTTCGCCCTTGGACATGCCGTTGAGGAGCATGCTGGCAGAAGCAGTGGCTCGCACATACTTACTTTTGGGGCTGGGGCCTTTGGTTACAATGATTATAATACTTAATACTAGCGGCACTAGCGGCACTAGCGGTTACTGGTTACTAGCAGGGCTTGGGGCTTAGGTTCGGTTAGGGCGGTTAGGGTTAGGGCTAGGGTGGCTGGGGTTTAAGGTACTTTAGGGACTTTAGGGTTAGGGTTTCGGTTTGGTTTTGGAAACGATTTGGCACAGGCCCGGAACTGCGGTGACTTGGAGTCCAAAGCGGTTGCCATTCACGTGTTCGTCCAGGATATTGAGGGCAAGCGCAAGGGCCAGGACGACGGCGGTGACGGTGCGGATGGCAGTGGCGGCAAGGGCACCGGGGAGGACTACGGTGACGGTGCGGATGGCAGTGGCACTGGAAGCAAGGGCACCGGGGAGGACTACGGTGACGGTGCGGATGGCAGTGGCACTGGAAGCAAGGGCACCGGGGAGGACAGCAGCAGCAGCACCAGTGGCAGGGTGAAGCGGCGTAGGACGGCAGGGACCTAGGACTTGGAGGACGTAGGACTTCGGACCGAGGACCGGGATCGACCTGCTGCTGTAGGACCTAGGACCCAGGCGCAAGAGTCCGGCCCGGTGTATACTAAATACTACATGCATACCATACTAAACTTTCTGAAAGGATCATTGCTTCGCATGGGCCATGGGCTTTATCACTTGTGACTGGTGGGTCCGGTCGGCTTTTTTAACAGTGGCTTGCCTCACACGGATCAGCGAGGCTACATCAGGCACACACACACACACGTGACATGTGCACACACGCACACACAAATCCTTGGCCGTGGTCAGTGTGGGCACAGCTGCTACTAGACTCATCGCACCGAGCTGGCGCGCTGCTCTTGGCCCCAAAAGTGCCGACCATTGCATTGCTTCCCGAGCCTTAATTCACCCTCAAGCCCCTAGGCCCCAGGCCCTAGGCCCTAGGCCCTAAGATTTTCAAGGCACCCGCCTTACTTCCATGGACTTCCCCATCCCCCTTTGTCCCTACCTTTGTCTCAGTCTCAGCGACGGCTAACGTTTTCGCATGATCCTGTTCCCTGTCTGCCCTAAGGCCCCCACGGCTCCACGGCCCTTTCCCAACCCAGCTTGAAACTTTGTAAGTCACTTGCTCTCAATCTTCCCGTCTCGTCCGAGCCTTTGCAGGTGCCTGCCTGGTGCCTCAGCTGCTGCTGCAGGCTCGGGGCCGAGCGGACTTAAGTTAAGTACTTGGGGCTTTGAGTGTTTAAAATATAGTATAGTATAGTATAGTAGCAGCGTTCGCGCTACGCTTCCTGATATTCTGGCCTGCATTTTTCGTGCCCTTGTGCATTGCGAGACACTTGATGATGGCGCGGCAGAGAGAGCGAGAGATAGTAACGTAGTAGCTTAGTTGTTCAGCGTTAGGTGCCCCACCCCCCCCCCGCCCCCCCTCCCCGTGGTGGTTAGGGTTTCGCCTTCATGGCGGTTAAGCGCCCTTCGTGGCGGTTAGGGCGGTTAGGGATTTAGGGTGGGCCATAGCCCCTACTACGCGCTATGCCTCCTGATATTCTGGCTTGCTTTTTCGTGCCCTTGCATTGCTTCACACTTGATGATGGCACGGCAGAGAGAGAGATAGTAGTAGTAGTAGTAGTAGTAGTAGTAGTAGTAGTAGTAGTAGTAGTAGTAGTAGTAGTAGTAGTAGTAGTAGTAGTAGTAGTAGTAGTAGTAGTAGTATAGTAGTAGTAGTAGTAGTAGTAGTAGTAGTATAGTAGTAGTAGTAGTAGTAGTAGTAGTAGTAGTAGTAGTAGTAGTAGTAGTAGTAGTAGTAGTAGTAGTAGTAGTAGTAGTAGTAGTAGTAGTAGTAGTAGTAGTAGTGTGGGTCATATAATCATATAAATATATGTGGGGTTAGGCCGTGTTGTTTGGTTTCGGTTTT